AAAGGAAGGCAATGTGAGACTTTTAAAACCATAATCCAGCTCTCTGAAAATTCATCAGAAACTTGTACTAACAAACCTCCCAGGGCTCTAAAAATGCAAAGTGATGTATGACTGCATTGGAATTCTAAAATTGTCAACCGATGTCCAGGAGATTTTACATACACACACATATGTTTTATATATATATATACATACACACACAAAAATTTTATATAGTTTAAAAAAGTGATCTATGCCATATAGCAAGCACCTGAAGCTGTGAGAATATGGTGTTCCACCCTTAAGGAGAAGGGAGCACCCAAGATTCTTTGATGCTCATGATCAAAAGGAACGGCAAAATTCAGAGGGTCTGCAAAAGTTTACAGAGTTTTATCAGTAAATTACATGCTTGGCATAGAAATTGGTATGTTAGTCCCTAACCTTCTAGTATAAGCACACAGCAGCCTGGGTTTTGGATAAAAGGGTAGAGTGAAAGGGAAGAGAGAGCTTAATTAAAGAGGAATAGAGAGAAATAAAGGAAGAAAGAGAGAAAAAGAGGGATCACAGGTCCTGGCTCCAGCGTTGATCCAGCAGGGGTGTCCAGGGTCCTGGGGCGCACATGCACCCAGGCTTTGTGGTGGTACCTTTATATAGATCAGTTTTCCCCATCCTGGAGATAAGCTTCTTGCTTTTTATGCCAATTAGTTACCATGCTCAGTCTACTCTTCTAGACCTTTCTGGAAATGGGTTGGAGGGCTTTGGGAGGTCTTTGGTGGTCTTGTTCCCCCCCCACAGTGCATGCCCACTGCTCAACCTCATTCCTGTGCTTGCACTGTACTGTGTTGCGCTGATCTCCAGAAGCTTGAACAAAGATGTTTGTCCCAGAAAAGTGCTCCCCTACCTCCATATGTCCCCCTTCTCCAGCCACATCCTGTTCTTTCTCACAGTGTATTCTTGCCAACAATCCATTGCTGTTATTAACAACAATCCTTTGTTGGCTCCACAGCTATCCAGCTATCAGTGTTTGAGACATACACATTAGCCCCCTTATCTTTTAGGCTTCTACAGGGAACTCACTCTCAGATTTGGCTACTGATTCTTCTCCTGATGATGTGTAGCAACATTACAGAGTCACATGAATGAAAAGTGCTTTGTGAGCCTGGACTTTGCAAGAACTTACGAATATGTGAATCCCATCCCATTACACTCATATCATGCTCTGCCCAGTGAAAAATGCAACTGTGTACTGAGGTGCTCTTATTTCAAGCAGCAGCATATTGTGCACCTAAATGCTCATCCTGATAAAATTAAAAGCCCGAATCCTTGCACAGAGCAAAATATAGAATACTAAAATCTTTAGTTTCCCCCATTCCTCCTTCTTGAAAGGTGAAACAACTGAAAAGTTGGTCATAGTAAGCCTACATCTACGCAGCAGTTACATTAACTTCTGCTCCTTTCATTTCCTAAAAATGGCATTTAATGCACTAAACACATATTTGTAAAAGTAAATAAACATGTTATCACAGGAAGACACACACCAAAGCTATTGTTTCATTTATCTCTTCTAGGTGTTTCATGGAACATGCCTAACACCTTAAAATGTAATAATAATCATGCCTAGATATTTCCCAAGAATATAGAAAACACACAGCTAAAATGCAGGAAGGCCAATTTTATATAAACAGTGTTATTAGCATAAGCTAATAATTAAATCAGCAGTTCCAGAGTAATAAAACTGGCCCTTTTCAATTTAATTGTGCAAAATCAACTACATCTGAAGAAATTACAGTTCATTAATTTATTTTCTAAAGAAGAAAAGGAAAATACTGCTGTGTCTACCTAGGAGCCCATTATGAAGTCAGTGGTGAGAGAAATGGGCAGCTTTCTATCATTGCAATCTCATCCTCTGCCTTGAGACACCACCTTTTAAATTTGATTGACACGGCGGTAACACACCTCTACTTTGCAGCAGCGTTAGGGAGGAAAGAGGGGGTAGGGGGAAAGAGACTATATGTTTCAGAAGCACTCAGGTACAATGGAAGTCCATTTGCCAAGTGACATAGGACAAACTTGTCAAAGTTGTTGATGTGTCTAAAAGACTTACACAAGTCTTGCTCTTGCCTGAGCAAGATTTCTCAAAGGCACTAATGTGACATAAAGACAAGATAGCTCAGAATTCCAAGTCAGTTATTCTGGCTATTGGTTGATAGTGCACTGCAGCTACTGCGCTCAGAGATTATTGCGATCTACTAATTGCACGAATGGATTCTTTACCGACTGTCTC